GCAGGAAAGGGGCTGGCAGAGGAGCTCCCTGGGCACACTGAGAGGGAAGCTTGCAGACAGTCACGCAGCCCTGCGAGCGCTGAACAAACAAGATAATCCACTTAGAAAGTCCAAGTCTCCTTGTGATAGCATCTGCAAGATTCCCAGAAAGGGGAGAGAGACAAACCAAAGAGGCAGCTTTGGGTTATGGGAAAGTCAGCAGGCCAGTCTCTAAAGTCGCTGGGCCACTCCTTCATAGCCTTGGGGCAGGAAGACACTGTGATGGAGCCTTTAGGAAATCCTCAGGTCCTGTTCCAGGTTTGTCTTTAGAGAAATTAAACTCCAGGTAAGATCATCAAAATTCTCAGTCCTGGAAAGGTTGCAGGACTCTCAGCAGCAGGTTCTTCTCACACATATAGCCTAAGGGCTCCCCAGTTCTGGATTCAGTGCTAGAAGGAGCCTGGTGGGTCCTAACATTGGTCAGGGAAAGCAGGAAATGCCAGGCTCCTGATTACATAAACAGGGTAACTTGGTAGGCTGTCGGACACCCCTTTGTGGTCCCCCACCTTCCACTACTACACTGCGCTATAGTGAAGCCTGTGAAGGGCAGCTGTCAGAGTGGCGTAAGTGTGATGGTGTCCTTGCATGGTAAACAGTAGGAGAGTCATTTTTGTTGTTGTGTTTTTTGTTGTTTTTGTTTGGTTTGGTTTGGTTTGGGTTTTTTTTTTGGTTTTGGTTTTGGTTTTTTTTTTGGCTTTTGCACTTGCTAGAGACAGAAAGAGAGGGAAAAAAAGGAAAAGTGAAAAATCACTTTCACATCCCCAGAGGTGGTGGCCACAGTACAGTTCCTTCTCCTCCATTCTCCTCTTGGGATTTTGGGTACGCACGCACACGCGCTGGAGTGATTTTCAAGCTGCCAGGTTTGGAACTCAGACTATGGTTGGCCCTGTGGGAATCCAGGGCCATAATCACCATGCTCTAATGTTTTTAAGCTTCAAAGATTGGGCCATTTGAAAGGCTCGTTACCTGGAAATCAAATAGAACCTTAGGTTTGGATCTCCGGTTAGTCAGCACTCCTGCCTCCCTGTCCAATCCATCTGAGCCATCACTTGTTTTATGTTTATTCATTTCTTCCATAAGAGAAACAGAGTACTTCAACGGGAACATTAGATGCCAGTTCACCCCCAGCTTCTGCCAGCCCTGGGTCATGGGCATACACACACCCAGTGTACTGAAGGTCTCCAGACTCAGTCCCAAACCCTCCCATGTGGATCACAGCCTCACAGCTTACCGTTGTGCCACCATCCAGACCCTGAAGAGTCATCATTATGATGGCTGTCCTGCTGATACTCCTACCTGCTGCCCCTCTGTCAAAATGGTGGCCCTAGATTAACCCAGTCATTAGCCTTTCCCGATCCTACAGCCAGCCAGCCACAGGAGAGAGGCCCCTGACAGCACAGTTGGGGTCACTGTAGCTTCATGGTGTCCAGCTTGACCAGAGCCCTCAGCACAGCCCACTCTCCCTGGGTTTCTCTAGGCAGCCCCACTCTGTGTTCTCATGTCTACCTCTATCCTTAGAGCTCTGACCCACATAGCTCTCCTGACTAGCAGCAGATGACTTCACAGAGAAAACAGACATCAGAATTCCTCAACATTAAAGCCACCTAACTACTTGCTCTGGCATGTCCTCCTCCTACTTCCCCTGCCACCTGTGGGCTGTCCTTGTGCCCACCTTAGGCCAGTCTCTCTCTGTGCCTTGGATCCCACCATCCTTTCCAGCCCTCCGAGTTAACACCAATCTCTTCTCTCACACCTGGATTCACACTTGCCCTTCCCCTTGATTCCTTTTTGCCATTAGCATTTCAGGATGTTCTTGTATCTCTCTTCAAAACAAAACATGAAGTACCTTAATCCCACTCTTCCCTCTGTTTACCCACGTATTCTCTTTTTTTTTTTTTTTGGAGAGATTTTCTCTATAGGGCGCGTGCGCTCGCCAGACAGACAGAGACAGAGAGACAGAAAGCGAGAAATCCCCCCCAGGGGGATGGTCACGCCGCAATCCCTTCTCCTCCATTCTCCTCTCGGGATCTTGGGCACGCACGCACACGCGCCCGGTGTGAGTTTTAAGCCACCGGGTCCGGGACATGAACCGCGGTCGACTACGTGGGAGTCCAGCGACATAGCCATTACACCAACTGCTGGTTCCCTACCCACGTATTCTCTTTACAGCCAAGCATTTCATCAAGTCACTCTGTGTCACCTTCCACTTGCTCTGTGAGCTCCACCTCATTGTTCTTTTTTCAAATCCTAGTCTTCCATTTGCCTGCCTACCTAGCCATTCATTTAGCTTCAGCTCAAACATCTCTTCCTCAAAGAAACCCTCCAGACTGGATGTGGTCCCTTGTTAGATTCTTACTGTGCATAAAATTACTGTACAGCTTCTGGCCTGTATGAGGTGCCCCAGATGCATCTGTTTGAGACTTGCAGGGACAGGGAACCTGTGTCCCACCCCAGTCCCTAGCCCTTCCTATCTTCACACAGTTAAGACCCTAAGATGCAGCAGACTCAGCTATGAAGAGCTCAAGAAGAGCTCAAGTAACCTCTTCGGATTATAGGACAAATGGGGCTTTTTATAAGAAGGCCAACTAGCCCGTGGAGGTTTTTGTTTTTTGTTTTTCTTTTCTTTTCTTTTCTTTTTTTTTTTTTAATGGACTGCCTTTCTTTTCCTAAAAAAATTCAGATGTGGAATACTCGGACGACCACTGCCATTTGGTGAGTTGGGGCTTTCTTATGCTCACTGCTGAATCGCATGCTTTCTGTAGCATGAATGGTTTCCTCGGGTAACGCCTCTGGTCTGTCTTTCCTTAAGATTTTACCAGATTCGGAGGCATTCCAAGATGTGCAAGGAAAGAGACATCGAGGGAAGCACAAGTTCAAAGTAAAAGAAATGTATCTGACGAAGCTGCTGTCAACCAAGGTACGCTTCCTGTTCTGGGAACGCGTTTATGGCTACCTTGGGGGTGTCTGATGTGTTTGACTTAATTTCCACTGAAGTGTGAAAATGTTACAAATCCCTTGTGCCTTAGAGCAAAGCAAAATGAAAGTTTAAATTGTAAACACTTCATACCCCTTTCTTCTTCGTTTTTCCTTCTCTCTTTTATGAACTGGAGAGATAACGGCACTTTATACATTTCTACAGTAGCATCTTCAATTAGAGATTTAATATTGTTCCTAAGGCCTGCACCCACCATCTCGCTATTGTTATTTTTTAGGCTGACAGCATAATTATTCCTTTTTGTTTACTTGTTATTATAGATGAGCAATAAAACTCTTTCTTTGAATTGCAAATAAAATGGGGGGAGGAGGTCAGTGACTATAAACCCAGTAAATCTTACTGATTGTATTTTTCATTATGAAATTAAGAATTCAATTCACATATAAAAGTGTCAGATGTGAAAGCCAGTGGAATACCAAACTGGGAGCAAATTTTACTTTATCTAGCTTTTAGGGGAGATTAACAGAAGTCTGTGTTGATCCCCCCTCCCCCCGAAATGACTAGTAATATAAATGCCATTATCTACACCTGGCCCTAGTAACTTGATGGGCACGCTTCTTCAGATTATAGCAAAGAATCTGCTTAGAGCTTAGGAGATTTGTTTAATGGGTAGAGGACGGCCCAAGCCTCTTGATTTTCTCAGCTGTCCCACAGAGCTCAGCCTGTTTGGTTTTTGTAAAATACTCAAACGCTTTGGAAAGCACACAATAAAACCCTATGATGGAAATAGATGCAACAGAAAACATTCTGGAAACAGCAGCATCATTTGAGTTGTTCCAGGCTGATCATAACTACTAAAAGCCAAGTATCTGTGGCTTCTTGGTTTATGTGGACAGCCCTACAACTGCCATTTCAGCTGCTAGAGATTTCTAAGATATCCTCCCTGTTGACTGAACAGTGTTATCAGCAAGAAGCTTATGAGCCAAATCTAAACCTGGGCATGGATTTTCAGGACCTTTGTCCCACACTGTGAGTGTTGGCCTCGTCTGACAATTATACGTTTTTCTCTTTGGCTTGATTTTCTGTTTTGCACATCATTTTCTCTGAACTTGGACTTGCTTTGTCTGTTATGTTTTTGAAAGTACTTGTGTGGTTTTTGATCTCCCGCACCCGATGTTTTCTGTCTTTTAGGTGGCAATTCATTCTGTGCTTGAAAAACTTTTCAGAAGCATTTGGAGTTTACCCAATAGCAGAGCACCGTTTGCTATAAAATACTTTTTTGACTTTTTGGATGCCCAGGCAGAAAACAAAAAAATCACAGATCCTGATGTCGTGCATATTTGGAAAACAAACAGGTGGGAATGTAGGTGATTACTGGCTGTTTTCAAGAATCTGGGACAGAATATTAAGGGCAGAGATACTTACAGAAGGATTCCTTTATCACTCTATCCGAATCTGGGTTTGGTAAGCTCTTGCAGCAAAGTAGTTTCTCCACTGTTACTATTTTTAAACAACAAATGAAACCATTCCTATGCTGAGAATCCTATTCTTGAGGATAAAATTAACAAACTCTGTTATCTTTAATGTATGAAAAAGACTTTGTGTGGAATATTAAGTTTAACTTGACCAGCAAAAGATGAGAAAAGATGATGTGCATTTACCATATCATTTTTCTATTAGAAAAGACTTTCATTTGTCCCTAAAATAATCAATTACTTTGCAATTTCCAAGCTGAATATATTCTGATTCTGTATACAAATTTCTATTTTTTTCTCCAGTGCAGTGCTCTGATACCATAAGAATTAGCCAAAGGTTTGTGTTTTGTTTGGTTTTGTACTTTAACATTTTACCTTGGGCCAACATCTATAGCCCAGAGGTCAAGGGAGCTAGATCCCACATGATTGACTATGGTTCGAATCCCGGTCTCAGTGTCTTGAAAAACATACCAAGCTTATTTTTGTGCACCAAATCTTGATAGGATGGAGAAATGGAGGAGAAAGGATTGTGGCAAGACCACAACCTATTGAAGGGTGATTTCTCCCCCCCCTTTTTTTTTTCTCTCTAGTAAGCACATGTGCACTTTGGGGGGAAAAAAAAAAGACCTTAAGTATAGGCAAGGTATTCAGATTCATTCTAAATGTCTCCTTAGTTTAAAAACAAACAAACAAAAACCTCATTACTCTATTTCAAATATTCTGTGCATAAATTGAATAAGACTCAAGAGTTAAAATGTAGAACTTCTAAGTGCAAGCTCGAGGCCTCTCAAGCACTGGAGTCAGTCATACCATATTAAATAAGTTTTTGTTTTATTTCCTCCATGAGCAAGAGACAACCCCACACACACACAACATGGATGCTTTTTCTTTTTTTTTTTTTTTTTTGGGGTTTTTTTTTTTTTTTTTTTTTTGCTATAGGGCACGTGGTGAGATTAGACAGACAGAAACAGACAGAGAGATAGAAAGTGAGAAATCCCCCCCCAGGGGGGATTGCCAAGCCTCCATTCTCCTCTCAGGAACTTGGGCACACACGCACACGCACCCGGCATGAGTTGAAGCCACTGGGTCTGGGACTCGAACCATGGTCGACTACGTGGGAGTCCAGCGACATCGCCATTACGCTAACTGCTGGTCCTATGGATGCTTTTTCTTAATGCTGGGATCCATCTTCCAGCCTCAGCCAGCCCCGGATCATAGGCAAATGTGTGCCTGGTGTCCTCAGGGAGGTCTCCAGACTTGAACTGGGAACCTTCCCAAGCAGGCTTGCCTTACTAAATGTCGCATTTTACTATTGTGCCATGACTGGTCCCTTGAATATTAAAAGCTGAAGTTCTAGAGCTCTAGGACTGATCTCCATTTTAATCCAGATCTACACCAGCTTTCTACTCTGGCGTACTCTCTTCCTGTGCTCTAGTCTCATATCCTCAGACCTGCTCCTCCCATACCAAGCTTGGGGGCTGCGGGTCCCCAAGAAGACTGCAGCATCTGAGCAGGGCAGCAGCCAGGACAGTAGAGCTGTGGAGAGACCTAGCAGCATGTGGTGGAGGTACTGAGAGGGCCAGAGTTGAAGAGGAGATAGCAGAAGGACTCTGAATGATGCCCAAGTCCATATTCAAATATTGTTTTGGGTATCTACTATGTGCCAAGCACTGTTAGACGCTGAAGACATCATAATGAACAAAGAGGGAAAAATCCGCATCCTCAAAGAGCAGCTTGTGTTCTAAGACGTGGGGACAATTTGTACAAGACATAAATTGTGGTATATTAGAAATGCAGTGGAAGAAGTGGGAAAGTTGGGAGTGTTAGGGCAGGGTGGGCAGAGAAGGTCTCAGGAAGATGATGACATTGAGCCAAGACTTTAAAGAGGAGAGAGCAGAAACCATGAGATGATAGAGGGCGAGGGTTTGAAGACAGACATGTGCAAAAGTCCTGAGGTGTGAGCTTGCCTGGCAAGAGTGAAGAACACTGAGGAGGCCAGTTGAGTGGGAATGAATCAAGAATAGCCAGGGAGGGAGGCCAGGGCCAGGTCACGCAGGGGTGTTGTCTGCAGGGAGGAGAGCTGCAGAGGGTTCAAGCAGGGGAGAGACAAGATCTGACCTTGTTAAGAGGAGTGAGAATAAACTCAGGAGCTAGGGGCAGTCACCCAGGTGAGAGATGGTGGTGTTAGACTTGGGTGTCACACTTGAGAGGGAGTGGGAAGAGCTCAGCTGCTGGAGGGCTAAGATGCTCTCAGTGGTAGCCATCCCCTCAGATAATCAAGAACTATCTGGATAAAATTCTTGGTCTATCCACAGCCACTTTCAAACTTCTCTAGCCACCTTCCAGTGTTCTGCAGTTTAACCCTTTCTTGGTCTGAGCGATACTGCCTTCTGTTGCTTGGTACGTTTGGCTAAGCAGATTCGTGTACTTGAATACAGGGACAAAAACACCTGTTTGCAAACTGTGATTAAACAGACCATTGGCCTCCTATGAATGGCCCCTATTTAAAAAGAGATTATTCTTCCGTTGAACAGCCTTCCTCTTCGCTTCTGGGTAAACATCCTGAAGAACCCTCAGTTTGTCTTTGACATTAAGAAGACCCCACACATAGATGGCTGTCTGTCAGTGATTGCCCAGGCGTTCATGGATGCTTTTTCTCTCACAGAGCAGCAATTAGGGAAGGTAAGGCTTCGGTATTTCTTGTCCATTCTCCCATGAGGCTGAAGCATTCCACCTTTCTTGTAATGCTCAAATAATAAACAACTGTTCTAAACAACACCAGCTAGAAAGAGTCCGTTGGTTACTGTAAATTTGTTTTTAAAACCTCATTTTTATTTTAATCTAATTTTTCAAAAGTGAAAACTGAAATAATTACCCCATCCTATTGTAGGATTTTCCTATGAAAAACTCTACCACAAAGTAGACATTTCCTAGAAGACCATTCTACAGACTCTGTTGAACTATTAACCCAAAGTATGAACCTACTGAATTTTCCTCAGCTAATTCCATCTGAACATACACATAGACTTAAGTCTATTTGAATATGACAAATTACTTATGGGGAAAAAAGACTTGCCTGAGATTTCTAACAAGACCAGTTTATCTGTTTATGATCAAAGCATGAATATTGCTTTCTTACAGTTTTCATTGCTAATCAAAAGCCCCAAGAGAGCAAACAATAAAAATACAGAGCCAACTTTGAAAGCAATGCTTTGGTCTCACTCGAGGAGTCCAAAATACATTCACCTGAGCAATGTCTATACCCAGGGGATCTCCAAACATCTTTGAACACTAAGCAGTGACTGTTTACAGCAGGATTTTAAGAGTACTTGGAATGAACAGAGTGTTGTTGCACAAGTGCCTCAGATTCCTACTCCTCATCTAACCTCTGGCACCACTATTCCTGCAAAACGAACCTGTTTTACTTCTTGGGTTCCCTAGCATTACATAGTTTTGAGAGAGAGACTTTTCAGCATTATCTTTGACCTCTTTGCCTTCTCCCTTTCTTTCTTGTAGCCATATTCCCAGTTAGCTGGGTACCACTCAATTCCTTTTTCCCTACTGGCGTAATATATATATATATATATAACAGTGAGAAGTCACTCCCCTCCAGGGCGGGGGGGAAGGCCATGCCACAGTCTCTTTTCCTCCATTCTCATTTTAGGACTCTGGGCACATATGCACATGCACCTGGTATGACTTTCAAACTGCTGGGTCTGAGACTTGAACTGCAGTTAGCCATGTGAGAGTCCAGAGGCTTAACCACCATGCCACCTGCTAGTTCCAGTAACTGCCTCTTAATCAGCACCCCTGCTGTCCACCTATCCCTTAACCGTTTCATTTTCATTCTCTTGGGTTTTCTTTCCGAAACAAAAATCCATTCTCACAGTGTCCGACTTACAGACAGCCAATACTTGCCCTAACCTACCAGCTAAGATCTTCACAGTGCCATGTGGCACTTCCCGAGTGGCTTCAGCCCTTTTTACTGGCCTCATCAGTCCCTCGCACACTCCACACACCCTGCAGTCTGCAGCTCTTACCTTTCCCAGACACACCACGAACCACATTTTCATATCCCTTAGCTTCTCTCTGTCCTGACTCACAGCCCTTGTTCATTCATTCACAAATAGTTTGCTCATTTAACAAATATGATTTCCAAATGTGTACTAGAAACTGTGAGACTCATATCAGTCTAAATATACTTACTTTGCAAATTTCCCCCAGATGTATTTTCTACAGCACTTTCTCCATTTGACTAATAAAGTTCATCTTACTGCAGCACACTGAATGACATTTACATGTTAATTTGTGGCAAAAAGAGCTGTTTACGGATTCCTTGCCATGTTCTTGGTGTATTTCAATTAATCCTCACAAGTACCACAGAAGTTAGTTACTGTAACCCTTATTTTATCGACAAGGAATCTGATGCTCGGAGAGGTTATAAGTCTTTCTTGAGATCACGCAAAGTAGAATTAAGGATCTCTGATTTGTCCAGCTCTGCAATCCTTTTCTTTATGCTCTGCTACTAATTACTGCTATCAGAGTAAGCACTATGTACATTCGTCTTTCCAAACCAGACTGTGAGCTTCTTTAGGGCAAGTACTGGTCTTCATCTTCGTACACCCACTGCGCAGTGCCTGGCTGTTCACTGAATGAATGATGGAGCACATGATTCCTGGGTTCTCATTCGTTTTGAGAAATGAGAAAAATCGCAGTAATATCTCAGTCTAGGCATCCTATAGAATGGTTCATCGAACCACTGGTTCATCCTCATGGCCTCTAAAATGTACGGGGCCATTAGTCTTATTAACTTATCTTCCCTGAGTAGACTTTTTAAACATTTTGTGAAAAATAGTGACTTCGTAAAGTAAAACCTTCGTTTGACTTTTAAAATATTATCACTATTACAATTACACAAAACCATGCAAACTGCCAGAGAACCTGTGCAAAATCAAACATCAGAGCCACCAATACTAATGACCACATCCTTCTCTGAGGAAACTGCAAGATCTTTATAATGTAATGAAATAAAAGGAACAAGCTGGAAAATCTGCCACCGCCAATTACTTACCAGTTTCATGGTTATATAAAGGGCTCAATCAGACCTACAATCAAGTCTTTTATAAATGCCAAAATTCACTGGTGGGTGAGGATGAGAGCAAATGTTTTAATTCAGGCTTTTTTACAACCATTAGTAATGAACTATGATTGAAATAAGTTCCATTGTTAACAGTAACTCAAAATCATGCAAAAATAATAATTTTAGTTCTTTTATGAGAGGAAGGCAGAATATATTAGCATTTAATTCGCCTGAAAATAACAGTGACTCACCAGAACTATCTAGATGGTAGTCAGTCATTCAGTGAACAACTTATTAAGGCCTATTGCATGAAGACTTGTTGGCGGGAGGTAAGATGGTGGTGGTGGTTCATTGTTATGCAATGGTGGCACTGTTATAAATTCCCTATGAGTTTTCACCCTTTTGGCCATGGTTGCTTTTTTTGCAGGAAGCACCAACTAATAAACTTCTCTATGCCAAGGATATTCCAACTTACAAAGAGGAAGTAAAATCTTATTATAAAGCAATCAGGGATTTGCCTCCATTGTCATCTTCAGAAATGGAAGAATTCTTAACTCAGGAATCTAAGGTATTATTAGAAGGCAAAATAAGCTTATTTTGGTTACTTTTTAGAAAAGACTTTTCAGAATCTCTCAACAAGTCTTTCTTTTAGAAACATGAAAATGAATTTAATGAAGAAGTGGCCTTGACAGAAATCTACAAGTACATCGTAAAATATTTTGATGAGGTAAGATTTTATGTCACATCCCTTTTTAAACCTGAGTCAGTCACAAGGATTTGGCTATAGCATTAAGTAGATCTCAGGACAGCTCTGGCATCCCAAATGGCCAGAAAGGGAGGCCAGGAAGCCTGTCGGAGATGGGGGATCCTGGCACCAAGCCAGACCCTGCACACGGCTGCCCCTCCTGTAGTTGTATCATGCTGCCCACCCTGGGACTGTCCTGAATTTACATTGGAGTTCATGGGGCCTACAGCCACACTGACTCAAGGTAACTCTGAAGAGTAGTGGTGGCCTACTGAAACGGGACCAGCTTATGCCTGATGTAATCTGCTAAAAACGAAAGCTAAGCTTGTTAAATCGCCTAGATTCTATACTCAAGAGTTATATGAAATGATGACATATTTCTAACTTAAGCAACTATTTCAATAAGCCATTCTCCTTTATGATTAATTCTCCTTAATCTGGATTTTTTTCTTTGGGAATTCACACAGACACATTCATCAGATGCGTTGTTTCCAAATATATGTTAATTCCCCCTTCCCTGATTCCCCCCCACTCAGTCATGCTGGGACAGGCTATCCATGTCAATGGTGAGAATAGCTCACCAATTCCATTTGCTACTTGAAGATCAAGTGAAGCGCTAAGGTAGGGTAGAGGCAATGAGTTCCTTAAACATGATAAGCATCCCTCTTTCCAGGGGTCAGGGGTGAGAAGGGAAGCACTGGGGAGGGGAAGGGCGAGGAGGGAGCCACATTGCCCAGGATGGGAGGGGAGGGAAGTATTCCTCTCTAACTAGGATGCCCCTGCCTGCTGCATTTAAGGAGAAATACTTGCCTGCATGCTGGCTGCCAGGAATGCTTGCTGTGCTTGGAATGGCTGTGACATAATGCATAAAGCAGGGCCTTGGAAGTCTGGCCCCATATTTGTAAGCAAATAGTTGGTATTTCTTGGGAGCCTCTATTTTAAGCCAAAGTGTTGTTGATCCTGTGATAATGACTTAGCAAAACAACTTGCAAAGTGAGTATGTAAATGATCGAAGAAAATGTTGGCATCTGTTTCATACAGATTTTACCACTCACAGCATCAGGAATGCAAAAAAACAGAATTATAATGCTAAAACCACAATATCTAAAATAACTGTTCTAATTGTCAACAGATTCTAAATAAACTAGAAAGAGAACGAGGGCTGGAAGAAGCTCAGAAACAACTCTTGCATGTAAAGGTCTTATTTGATGAAAAGAAGAAATGCAAGTGGATGTAAGCACTCGGGGGCCTGGCTTAACCTGGTAACGTTCTTCAGACGACTTGGGAGCAAAATAGCTACTTGAGCTACACTGTCGTTAGTTTTTAAGTTTGCACATAGGTTCCACTTTGAGCACTGTCTTTTCGAGAGACCAGGGCACATGCACAGCTTTAGAAAGCATACCAACCATGGTGCCTGTGTGTATACTGTGGGAACCCTTCTGTAAATAAAGCTGAAGTGGTTGTTGCAAACAGCCTCGTTTACAGAGAAGACAGGGCCAGTAAGCAAGTGTCAGTATTGTAATTACAGTCTCCACTTAAGCACAATGATATAAGTGGTTTTGTTCAAAAAAACTACAGCTATGTAGCACTTGTGACTACACTGCACCTCTGCAGAAAAGGAGTACTGCCAATGCTCAGAACAAAAATGTGAAATGAGTCATTTGGAAACAGGTGGGGGTGTTAGGGCAACCTCGAGGATTTGCAGCATTGAAACTTTCCCCAGTAGTTCTTGGAAAAGCTGACCACAGAATTTGGTAGTGTGTACACTTAGCATTCGTGAGTGTGTGTGTGTGTTTAAACCAAAAACTAACAGTGTTGCAACATTGTTGAAAGGGCTCGTGTTTTTCAGTGGTCACCAACTGCACTCCACCTAACTCACCTCCATCTCACCAAGGAGCTCTAAAGCAAGGAGAGTGAGTGGGGCTTTATTTGAAGGTAACAACCTTTTATCCAGATGTTTTGTCCTAATGTATGTTCCCTTTATTTCCATTTATTTTTTCATACTGAATGTATTTGATAGTGGGTGTGTTGGGTATTGTAAAAAAAAAAAAAATCATTTATCTCAATTTCAAAACATTTGATCAGAACTATCTGTGGAAGCATAATTCACTCCCTCAATCCTACATTTCTATACTAGTGTCTCCTTGCTTTAGACTTCTGGTGAATCCTGTGGTTATAAATACTTGTGTGTGATTTAAAAAAAAAGGAGATACATTTTACATTTCATCAAATTGCTGTTCACACTGGAGTATTATATATAAATATATATATTTGAGGCCCAAGGCCTGAAAAACATTAGTATACAACTTGGTATCTTAGTCTTACTATGTACTTTTTGAAAGTATTCCTCATGGGAGAAAGAATTTAAAATACCCATTTTATTCATGCCTTTCTTTTTAAAGAATTCCCTATCCAGTTATACTGTAGTCTTTTTATTAGTAATTTTTTATTCCTGAATTTTTGCTGCTCATGACCAATTTTAATACCACTGTGTTTTCCTTCTATTAAACCAGAAGTAACAAATGAAATTGGCAATTCTCTCAAGCTTTTCTGGTGGCAGGCACCTTTTACCCTTGGTGCTCCAAATCCCTTTTCTATGAAAGAAACTGTTCAGGTAGCAAATAAAACACTGACCACATACCCCTTAAAATCATCTGTCAACACTGTATGAAACATCAGGATTTAACCATGAATTCGTCTAGGACGAGCACAGTTCTTTTTTGCTCCTTAAGCAAGAGAGGTGAAACCTCAACAAACCAGTCAGAAAAAATAAGCAGTTACTGCCCTGATAGGCACTTTCCCAATCCTGTCACTTTTGACCACTGTCTGTCCGGTGGACACACCTCAAAAATACTACCAAATAGGTTACTTACAAGTATAAAGGTGAGAGGTCTGGTCCCCATGTAAGGCTGCTAGAATCTCCAAGAAGGTGGAGGAGTTCATAAGAGAACAGCAGAGGACAGTTGAGAGCCAAGGGTAGGAGAGTTGCCCAAAAGACTTCCCCTTCTTTAGGGTACAGAAAATTCCAAGGATCAGCTACAGCTTTATCTAAGTATTTACTAAATGCTACATGAGGGTGTCCCTGTCCAGCTCTCTAGCACACGAGTCCCGTGTGGAGAGTTACCTCCTCTACCAGGGACTGTGCTGTTGGGAACTTTGGGCAAGTCACTTACCTCTTTGTGCCTCGATTTCTGTATATTTCTAACCTACCTCACTGAGGTGGTGTGAAGATTCACTAATGTATGTAGCGTGTTTGTCAATCCTCCAGTGAAAAGCACTCTCTAGATCACATTTTGGATCACATTAGCCAAATGCAGTAAATGGCCAAATTAGATGTGTGCTGAAGACAATCAGTCACTGGGTCTATATTAAACAGCAACCAGAGAAACAAATGGCAAACGATTTCTATTTTCAAGTTTCTTTGCATATTTTTTTGGTGCAAAACAATTCATTTATAAACTTTTTTTTTAACACTAGTGTCTACAGCAGCATTTAAAAATTAATTCTGTTATCTTTTCCGTATTAGGATTTAAAAGTCTATTTCTTATTGTATACCTGATTGAAGCTGTTCTTGGAGATGAATGTTTTAAATGTCTATATCCAAAAATAAACATTTTGATGTAACTGTGGTCTTTTTTTTTTTTCTTTTTTTAATTTTCTGGTTGTAATAGAGTTTTTATTCTAAGTAGCTCCATGGAAATTAATTATTTTTCAGGAATGAGGTGTCACTGCATCCTCTGTGTGAATAAACAGTTGTATTACATAGTAAGTAAACCTAGTTCCTTGCTAAATGATGCGACGCACAGGCCTGGTCTCCACTATCAACTTGGACTTTGACAGTGAAGAGTACTAGATAATAACATTCCACTTAATTTGGCAAACTTGAGCTCTGCCTTATTGACAGGAAGTTATTCCAATGGAATTCCTCTAAAGATTTATCTAAAAAAGCTTCCAAAGGATACAGCAGTGAAAATAAGTAAATGATGGCATACATAGGAACACACAGAAATAAGACATTTATGGTTATTTGGTAGATCCAAACCAGCAAGAGTCAAAGTTAAACACCAAACAATACTTCTAGAAGGACTTTGGTAGATTCTAGTTTTACAATCAATGGCCCACTTTTAAATATAGCCACAGGATTTAATTATTTGTACTTCATTATTTTCTATTAATTCTAATTCAACAAAGACAAAATAATCGAGATTTTCTGCACTCTAAATATATATTGTATGGGCAAAGTGAAATTCAGCACAAGACAATATAGTTAGATAGAAAAATATTTATTAAGTTCTTTAATAAATTATGTGCATACAACTTTTATAAAAGGTAGCCTTTTGTGAATATATATATATTTAGATACCTTTATTTTTTTTTATGCTTTTAAATTGTCATTTTTCAAAAACTAGAGGCTTGTAAGTCTTGTATGTGGTAAACCAGAAGATATTTACTGACCCTGTTGTTGCCAAGCACCTCAAAGATGAGGGAGAGGAATTCAAGATGGCATATTCAGGCAAAATGCCAAATTCAACAAAGTAAAATGAATAAATATTTAAAAACTTGAGCCCCTAATTCCTTTTATTTACTCTTACATTTTCAAAGAGGTGTCAATATTCTAAATATCTCTGAAAGTGTTTCCTTTAATGCATCACTTGTCATTAGTATAATCCTAAAATCCTGATACTCATGCAATATAGCATTTGCTGGTACCTTTTCTTGAGGCACATTCAAGTATTTTGGCAAAGAGTAATAAAAGATCTACATGCCACATATGTGAGTACTTAAGCTTTACTGAGTCACTGACTTCACCCTTTTTGATCTGTCTTTTCTCCACGATTATCATTCCGCAGGAGATCCAAGTTCCTCTAGTTGTTTCTTTTGTGTTGTTTCTAGTTCTTCTAGTCTTTTGCGAAGTAGAGAAAGTTCCCTTTGATGCTGTTCCTCCTTAAAAAGACATGGAGAAAACATAGCAAAAGAAACTGTTAGGAAAACTAGTAGAAAAAGAAGAGGCCTCTAGCTGTCTCTTTTATACAGGACTGTGGCACCCGGCAAGGAAATGATTACCATTTTAGGGTCCAGACACAGCAGCATGGGCAAAACTTACTGCCTGGTCCTTGCTTCTCTTCTGCCTCTAGCCTTAGGCAAAACCCACAGTCTGTTCATTTCTAGGTATAAAATTTGCTAAGTATAAATCCACTAGTGAATTAGAAAATATTAATGTAGGGACCAAATATCCTTATATGGTAACTTCTGAATAAGACTGGGGTTTTAATAGCAGTTTATTATAAACAGAGCACTTAAGTCTGGAGATTCAATTTGCTGCCTAAAATCATCTATGCTTACAATATTATAAGATTATTTATCAATAGTTCATCTTCTGAAAATCATCCAATTAGATTCCTTCTCAGGGGCTTGATAAAGTAGAAAAAGCCCATGTTTTGGAATCAGGTAGATTTAGGTCTAAAATTTAACTGTCATTTACTAGCTGTGACGTGAGGCAAGTCACCCACCTTTCCGAACCAGTTTTCTTATCTATGAACTGGGAATACTAATGCCTGCTCTCAAAGCATTTTTCATTAGTAAATGCTCTATAGCAATTAGTAGTATATGAGTAAGCTACAATGTTATTCAAAGACTCATTAGTCAACTTCTTCTTTTCTATTACATAATAGGAGATTTTACTCCCAGCACCATCACTAATGGATAGAACAAATACAAATCTACTTTATTTCTCAGCAAATTTCTATGGTAAATGAAAGGGATAAAATTAAAACTGTCCTTATATGGTTATGCCTTTTTTTTTTTTTGGAGAGGTTTTTGCTATAGGACGCGTGTGCTCACCAGAAAGACAGAGAGAGACAGAGAGACAGAAAGCGAAAAACCACTCCCCAGGGGGGATGGCCATGCCATAATCTCTTCTCCATTCTCCTCTTGGGATCTTGGGCACGCACGCACACGTGCCCGATGTGAGTTTATGCCACCAGGTCCAAGACTCAAACCATGGTCAACTACCTGGGAGTCCAGTGACATAGCCATTACACCATCTACTGGTCCCAAATGGTTATGCCATTTTCGTGACTAATTCTGAACACTGATCACATTTACAGCTGGAGTTTTAGGTCTATATTTAAAACTTACAGTAATGTCTGATTAGCCCTTTTCCCTAAAATAAATGTTCATACCTGCATATGTGGAGGAAAAGACAGTTCTATGCCTGGAACCATAGCTGATGATGGAAAGCTCACAGGATTGAGGGATGCAGTTGGAGGTACATTAGGAACTAAAATCAGACTTCGAAATTCATTATGTCTTCTCTGTATATCCTTTAGTCTTTTCTGAAGTCTTGTATATTCTTCAAATGGAACATTTTGTCTTAAAAAGAAAAAAAAGTGTTTCTCCTCGTTAATAGTTAAACCCTACTAAAGTACAGTATGGACCACAGGATGTAATTTTAAATAAGAAGAGAATGATTTCTAAATTATAAGATCTACATTTAATATCAAGGTAAACAACCTGTTTACCAAGATAGATAGAAAGAACTATGACATTACATCTTAATCAAATGTGATTATTATTAGCATTGCAGGCTACTAACTCATTTGCCAATTAATCGAAAATTTAAAAATCTTGTGATACTTTTACTTTCATTCCCATCTTCTCCTAGCCATGAATCCTGAAACTAAAAGAAGACTCTAAACCAAAAGAATGCCTTATCTTAAAAAAGGAATCAAATAAAACTAGTGAAAATCCTGGGTTGAACCTTATGAAACTGCCATTCTAGGTGAAACATGATCAAACAGAATTTCGTATAGTTCAATTTTTAAAATATAGGTGTGATATTGTTATATAATAAACATATGTTTGGCTCTGCCCTGGGTTCCTGGCACATAGTTTCTAAATACTTTGGCATCTCCAGAGTGATGAATGTCTTTTGTATGGTAATAAGATGATTGGTAGCTAGGGGCTTCAGCCTCCCTACACTTCAGCTGATTACCTGTGGCCAATGATATAATCAATCATGCCTATGTGATGAAACCTTCATAAAAACCTAAAGGAAGAACTTGGGAAGTTTCCAGGTTATTGAAGACATGGAGTGCCCAGAGGATGGCATGCCTACAAAAGGCATTAAGGTTCCATGCCTCTTCCTATATACTTTTCCCTATGTGTCACCTCCATATGTATCCATTGTAATATTCCTTATAATAAGCAGGTAAACACAAGTTACTATTTCTGTGAGTTGCTCTAGCAAATATACTTGAATTGGAGGAGGGGTTTGTAAGAACCCCAATTTATAGTCAGTTGGTCAAAAGCACAGATTCAAACCTGGGGCTTGTAAGTGATATCTCAAGTAGGGGGCAATCTTGTAGAGTTGAACCCTTACCCTGTGGAATCTGATGCTATCCAAGAAGATAGGGTCAGTACTGAATCATAGGACACCCAGTTGGTAGCCACTGGAGTACTGATAGCTTAGTGTATGGGAAAGACCCTACACATCTGATGTCAGAAGAGCAGGAAAAACACTTTGGTTTTCCTCATCTCGTATAGTAGGTCATCACATAGATGAGGTTTTCTCAACTTTAGGAAAATGGCATGGGGAAACAAGCTAATTTTGCAAGCCTTCACAGCAGAATCCTTCGAGACATGACCTTCCTGACCATCCATCATACCAGCAATCAAATATAGTTGTAAAACCACTCAAACTTCTAGATGATCTGCACCACAGCGTCTCAATTTTGAACTGATAATATTTCAATATTAATATTGGGTTGTCATACAAGTAATAACATTTTTCTACATTTTTCTATGCAAAAATGTGTCATGGCTTTTCCAACAACCCAACAGTTATGAAAGAAGTAGTAAGCAGAATTTTGTTTTAGAATGTCTTGTGGCTTCCCGTAACTCCACAGTCTAGAAACCTCTTGAGTGTTTTTTTAAAAAAATTGTTGACAATGTGGTAATAATTCCACTCAATAATACCAGTTCATATCACAAAACATCACTTTATAACATTATAGGCAATTTCTGTTTTAGAAAAATCTAATACTTAAATAGCTGAAGCGCTCAATACTATACCACTAAGTAGCTGAATTCAAAAAAAAAATTTATTAACTTGAATCAAATAGGTCACACACCAACTTAATATGGTAAATCTCTTTGTGAAATATACAAATGATATAGATTATTAGCTATGCCTGGATGTGACTGCAAAACCAGCAGCTATAGCCCCCTAATATTGTTCCATACCTGGAAACCAAACACAATTTTCAGAACTGTGCAGGAACTACAATGGTTTTGTTGTATCAGCAGCAAGAGCTTACCACTCTCACGCCACTCCTGGCTATTAGACCTTTGGTTATGTCCCCAAAGTCAGTGACCTTTTCTGTCAGCCCTAACCCTAACACAAACATCTGGCACGTGACAGAGACCTTTGGATTTCAAGAAATATTCAGTTAGAAAAAAAAAAATAAAGGATGGTGCATTAGGGGTTAACAAATAGTTCTAGAACTCTTTAAAATGTATATTTTAAAAGGAAACACACTACGTGATATTCAAAGTAAAGTTCTATGACATAAAAATAATCACATAGGGCATATATATATACAAACATATTACCTATTTAACACCTGATTTTCTGTTTCCAATTCTTCTTTCTTTGCCTCTAAGACTTCTACCTTCTCCTGTAGTCTCTTCAATTTGTTTTCATAAAGAGATTTTCTCTAGAAAAAGAAAAACCATTTGAGTAAGTATTGTCTTAGCCTATTTTTGTGTTCCTAACAGAAAGACCTGAGACTGGGTGGTTTATAAAGAAATAGGAATTTAATGGAGAAAGGATAGTGGCAGGACCATCCCCTCTGGAAGGTGATTTTTTGCCTCTGTCTCTTTGTTTCTCTCTGTCCATCCAGCAAGCACACGTGCACTATAGCAAATATCTCTCGCTCAAAAAAACAAACAACAAAAAAAAGAGTCTATTATCTCAGAATTCTGGTGGGTGGAAAGTCTGAGGTACAGCCCTAGCATCAGGCCAGGCTACAACATAGCCAATAGAAGCACAGAGAATGGCAGGTTGTGCAAAGAGAGTATGGCCTCCTGACAACTCTATAACAACCAGCTCTTGTGAGAACTAACCCCTTCTCATGAAAACTAGAAGTTGCTGGGTCTGAGATATATGATTAATCACATGATTAATCTATTCATAAGACTGTTGCCACCATGATCAATCACCGTGACCCCCCTCCCACTCCCTAGACCTCACTACCACTCATTGTCAAAATTTCAAACATGAAACTTTGCGGGACAAACTGTGATCCAAATCAAAACATTCTACCCCAAAGGTTCATGTTTTTCTTACATATAAAATACAATCATCCCATTCTAGTAGTCCCCAAAGTCCTAATTTGTTCCAGCATCAACTCAAAAGTCCAAAGTCTCATTTGAAACTGACGGCAAATTCCTAGCTAGCAGTCTCTGAAGTCAACACAAATTACGTACTCCCAAAATAAAATTGCAGAGCAGGCACAGAATAGAAATTTCCATTCCAACAGAAGAAAAGAGTAACAGGCCTCTGCAAGTCCAAAATCCATGTGGACAGACATTAGCTCCTGGTACTACATGTGCCATCTTCTGGATACACTGAGGGGCTTGGGCCCCCAAAACAGGAGTCTCCTGTCTGCAGATGCTGCACACTGATAACTACACAGTTCTGAGGTCTTAGGGAAGTCCCACCTCTGAAGCTCCATTAGGCATTGCCCTCTTAGAGGGTACTTTCTGCTCAGATATTGCATTTCCATTTGGCTTGATTTACTGGAAGTTTCCTGCGGTCACACTGCCTCTGTGACAGATCTCTGCCTAAATGACCCGTGCTTTTCAATGCTGTCTCTGAAATCTAGGAAGAGGCTACACCACCACCACACAACAGTGTATTCTGCACTCCTGGAGAATTAGTATCACATGTAGCCCCACTTGGATGCAATGACTCCACTGCCAGTACCAAGGCCTACAGCCTTTGCTGTCTGGATTGGCAGCCACACTGAAGGCTACTTGAGTCATGGCTAGAGCAAGTGGGCCCTGTAATGGAATACAGGGAATTACAGGCTATGCAAGGCAGGATGCATGCCACGGACCAGTTCCTGGAGATTATTTTTGTGCTCTCAGACCTCTGAGCTTCTGATGGATGGGGCAGTCCTGAAGAATTCTAAGCTACCATAGGGACATTTCTCCCACTGGCCTGTTTATTAGTACTTTTATCTCTTCTACAAGCACAGATCTCTTTAGAAACCAGTCTCTCAGCTACATTTCTTCTGTTAAACATGCTTTTTCATTCTTTGCCACACTGCCAGGCTGCAAATTTTCCAAATTTTTCCTCTTTTCATTATAAGTTCTAACTTTAAGTTATTCTGTTGCTTTCACATTTCAGTAAATGCAGTTAACAATAACCATACAGTTTCTTCTCTTTTCTTTTTTTATATTTAATCATGTACATCTTTACAGTGTACAATATTTCTTTTTCCAGTACAATTAACATGTATATCAGTCAAGATATATATTACTTATCCACTTCATCATCATCAAATAGCTTTTCATTTTTTTAGATTATTATTTGTTCCCATTATTTTTTTAAATATTCAACCAAATATATATCATTTGGCCTGTAAAAAGAATTTACCCAACATGACTTACTTCTCAGACCAGTCCAGTTGAGAATACTATACATGTTATCAACAGGTAATAAATCATTTCTATTTCCCACAAATGTCATGCCTCTCCATTCTCGTGCTATCCTTCTCTATACTCTTCCCTACTCCCCCCCCTTTCCACTCTGTCTTCAGCATCCACAACTATTTTCACTACTTATGTCTTCCAATATTTCAGTATCTACCACAGAATGAGAATAGTCAGTATATATTAAGTGGATACACACAATTATCTTTCTTTCATAACCTGGTTTGCTTCACTCAGCAATAAATCTTCCATATTCGACCACTTCCTATCAAATGGCAGGATCTTGTTTTTTTTTTTTTTTTTTTTTTTTTTGGGGTTTTGCCTTTAA